TAGACTCTGGCCAGAGGATCCTTGTTAAACTCTGGCTTCTTGGATTTGGTGTGCCCCCGCAGATGAGTGAGTGAGTGTGACCAGAGAAGAAACTTGACATGAGGCATCCCAGCACTAAGAGGTTGGTAAATAGAGGACCAACCAGCCGAGGAGGCTAGTCGGGTACGAGGAAAGTGGGAGACTGTTCTCTCCTGGAAGCCAAATGAAGAGATCATTTTAAGGAGAAAAGAGTCAAATGCTACAAATAGGACAAGTAAGATGAGGACTGAAAATTGACCACTGGACTTGGCAATTGACCTTAAAAAGGTCAAGAACAGTTTTGATAGTGAGGGGAAGGCAAGAGCTAGAATAGAGTAGGTTCAAGAAGGTGAGGGAAGAGAGGAATGAGAGACAAGAATAGAAAATTTTTGAAGAATTGGCTATAAAGAGGCCCAGAGAATTGGGCAGTCACTGAGGAAGAAAAGGGTCAATGAGGGCTGTTGTGATGGCAGAAACAATGGCTCGCCCATGTGCTCATAGGAACGGTCTAGCAGGAGAGAGAGGACGAGAATCGTGTCTGCATTGGTTCCGTGTTGCTGCTGTAACAAATTGCAACAAACTGTGTGGCTTGAAACAATGCAAATTCATTTTCTTACAGGTCTGGAGATCAAAAGTCCAAAGTTAGGTTCAATGGACTAAAATCAAGCTGTAGGAGTCCTGCATTTCTTCTTGAGTGTCTAGGGGGAAATCCATTTCTCGGCCTTTTCCTGCTTCTGGAAAATGCATTCCTTGGCTCACAGCCCCTTCCTCCATCTTCAAAGCCAGCTGTGTAGCATCTTTGAATCTCTGACCTGTGCTTCTATCCTCACATCTCCTCTTTGACTGTGATCCTCCTGGGTCCCACTCATGAGGATTTTGCCATTACATTGGACCTACCCAGATAATCCAGAAAAATATCCCCATCACATGACCCTTAATTAAATCACATCTGCAAAGCCCCTTTGCTGTGTAAGGTCATTTATTCACAGGTTCCAGGGATTAGGGCATGGATGTCTTTGGGGGCATTATTTAGCCTATTCTACTAGCTTTCCAGTTAATTTGGTGCAACTAAGCCTTAGCTTTCTAATCTTTCTAATAGGTATAATCATATCACCAGGTGCTGGAAAATGCAACTCTAGACTTTCATCTCAGATCAAGTGGGAAACCACATGAATAAACACCTGCTCCTTTAAGGCTAATG